CTCCAGGTAACGAGCACAAACTCCGGCTTTTTTCGAGCATCCCTATGCTGATGAACAAATACATCCCATTGAATCTTCCTCCAGGGCCCTGCATCATTTCCGTTGACCCTGACGGGGTGTGAAATCTACGTCCTAGACACCTCTTGAAGAGTCGAGGATAAAAATCAATGATCAAGCCATAGCAGATGGAGCCCCCCTACATAGCAAGGATACTTAAAGACGTATATGGGCTTCATATAAATCAGTTTGAATAGGAAATATTTATTATTCCCACCAGTTTAAAGTTTAAAGCGTAAATACCGGGCACAGTGGATAGTGACCCTTATATGACAGCCTGACAACACTCATGGATTATGCTTCAAAATAATTTGGGATCATTTTAGACAAACTATGTAGAACCCGATGATATGATTATTACATGTTTACTAAGACGACTAATCTAATAAATCTTGCTGACGTTATACCTTCCAGAGTTACAGTAATACCCCAATTTCATGTCGATGTGACAGCAGAAGTCGACTATCTGTATACATAGGAACCTTGCATTCATTGAAAGGGAGCTTTTCTAATTTATTGTTAATACGTGGCTGTGCACTTTCTTTTTTCAATAAACACTTCTTATTTGCCGTATAAGTTGACAGTAGAACTCTAATTATTCTGGCAGTATTTCAGAAAGTTAAAAACTATAGCCTATGAATGTCCCTAAATGATTGTTAATGGACCTGTGAAGTTACTGCTTATGTAGTTCGAAGTGTATAATTATATTTCATTTTTTTTCCAAGTATATTCGGCAATCGTTATTTTCATTTTAATACGATAAGATTCCATGTACAAGCTAAAAAGCAGCATTTTCCCTTCCGAGGAACAAAGCTGTTTTTTTTTTACCCACAAACACAAGCAAGCATGCAAACAGATTGTACAATATAACTAACAAATCAAACAGGCATTTAAAATGGGAGTGATTAAATACTATATAATCAGGTGAACATTTTGTGGGAACCATGAGCTAGGTCCAAACAAATAAAATAATAAATAAAAAAAACAAATTTGAAGTTTCGCTTTTGTGATTTTAATGCTCATTTTGACACTGAGTCACCGATTTGAGGTAACTGATTTCTTTATGTACAAGTGAGGATCAGCGCTTATTGAACCATGTTTTAAAAAATCACCCTTCAGTTCGACCGAAAATAGCAGGCATTTTAATTCAAAGGAGGTTAGAAAAGTACAAGTCGGTCTTGAGGCCTTTGCCCTTTACTTTAGCGAGAAAATGCTGGCGCATATGAACACCGACACACGGTTTCACTGTTTGACCGTTCCTTACCATAACTTCACTAGTGAGCGCATTATTAATACGTGTGCTGTGGCTGGCCCTGCCACCTTCTGGCCTGGTGTTAGCTTTGTCGTGTAAGCAGACGGCACACCAAGGAGGTACATCAACATTTGGCGCGAGACTTCAACACAAAGTGATCAAAATTAATTTCTCATCTCCCCAGTGCAGGGCAGCTGCAACACGAATGGATCTGTTTATCTCCAACCAGGTCCCCAGCGCGCCTGGGCTTAAGCTAATTTTGCACATACCTAGACGAGGCAAATTAGCTAGAAGTGCTGTTGGAGAGGCCAATAACCCATCTTCACCGTTAACACATTGGACACGCGTTTTGATACGCAAAATATCTAGGCTTCTAACTTCACAAAACTGAAACATTTGTTACCTGATCTAAGGTCGAGATACTTTGAGATTTAGCAAGAAAACGCACATGCCAGTCGTGTTAGTTGAACATTGATATCAAAACGGGTCATCTTTATTTCTTTAAACCTCACAGAGCCTGAATAGGAAAGCTCCCCGAAATTCTTCCCTGTGGGAATACTCGGTAAATCGCGATCCCACTTTAATTCCGTTTCAAGCTCTTTAGCCATTAAACAGCCTCAAGATATGGCGATAGAAGGTATATGAATTTTGGAGAGGGTATAACTGCAGATCATACATAACTATAATTGATCGTTGATACTGTACGAAGAGCAAGGGATTCTGCTTCTGCTATCGATATCAATGCAGCTTCTGCATGAGGTGACATTACATTTATGTCACAGACAAATCTTGTAGAATCGAACGCTAAATATGCTGGCAATCCTGAATGATGTACAAAGAGTAATTTGCCTGTTAACGTCTATGAAGAAAAGTACATTCCTTTGTATTAAAATGTCCTAAATATACAACTGTTTATGGAAACTGCCAACGCTGGCTCCGCTGAAATGTCAGCGTGCTGGCCAGTCATTAAAAGCGCCGCTGAACATTTTCAGCAGGCAGCTGGAGTTATTAACCCCTATTATCCACTTGCAGTCTTGGTAAGGGAAGGTCGAATATCGTTTACAGAGCCTGCGGGGAGGAATATAAACACGTTCTTGGGTAGGTCCTCGGACAATTTGGTAATTTATACAGTAGAGAAAATAGAGACAGATGAAAACGGGACAGCGCCTGCTGTTAGAAAAACACACCATTAGAAGAAATGGGTCGTACTTACATGGTGTGGTGTTAACTGTAGCTGACTTGATGATGTTATCGGATACACAAAGTATTGTTATAGCTGTTCCAATGCATGTATGACCGTGGTCTAATAATAAATACTTTTATGAAGTTGGCTTTTCAAATGCATGTAAAATAGATGTCAATTCGCGCACCATTTCCTTCTGTGCTTAAATAATGTTGATGAGTGACAAAGCAAAGTTTATACATTAGTTTAAGTGAAGAGATGATCTCAAATATTCAGCATAGTGTGCTCTTACACAAATTTCTGAAGAAGCTTACAAATAAAAAAACAATTTACGTGCAAACCGTTTATACAGAACAGGTGTTCTTTTATAACGGTTTCATATTACAAAAACGTTAAACACTGTCTTGCCATATTTTTTTGCACTTTTCCATCGTTTTCCAACAACAACATCCCCCAATTATTTCTGGTTCTTATAAGTCACATAAAAAAACTTAGAAAACATAGTGTTGGTGGAAGTAAGAAGCAATGGAGTAAAATAGTGTGGAATTTTGAAAGCTTATATTTTTCGTGGAAGATGAATTAAAGTAACAAAAATTGCTCAGAAAAATAAAGACATTTGTCAGAAGACCAGTCATTTTTAACAACTGATAAGCAAATATCTCAAATAAGGTATCTGAACATTTTGGCGCACATTACACTTATGCAGTTTCAAGCGTTAAGTTTTAGTAATTAGGTGAAATAAAGGAAAATATTCAAACTAAACTAAATTGAAAATAACATTTTTCAAAGCATTAAAGTGGTAAATTATAAAGTTGTACCTGTGCCCAGTCTTATAGCCCCCCCCATGTGGGACAACTGGGTTTCTGTTTTTGTGCGATAAATGTATTTTGAAAAGGGACATGACTCTTATACATTTTTTTCAAATCACTTCAAAAAATAATATCAACTTTGCAAGTGCCCCTGTTACTTAAAACTGGGCACATCCTTTTATTATTATTATTATCATTTATTCGATCAGATATTTAAGAAAAAAGAACAACACAGAGATTGGCAAGGGACAAGAAAAGTAAAAATTTTTAAAAATGTGGTGTACGGACCTAATAAATAGCAGTGCTAAAAAATGAAAATAAAATGCCTCTTTTTCTCACATTACATTTTTAAAGCGGAGGGATGAATGTCGTGTCCGAAACAAAAGACCAATGAAGAGACCAAGTAAAAGCTGACACAAATTATCTCATACTTTTCATGAAGCCCACAATACCTACATGTACTGTATAGGCTTCCTTCATACCAAGTAAAGCAGCAAAAATACGCAGACCGTGAATACCAGTGCTTTGGGAAAATGAAAATTTTGACTGACAAAATAAAACAAATTGGTACTGTACTTGGGCTCCTTTCTTGCTCATTTCGTTCAAGTTACTAGTAAATGATGGTATAAACTGACCACATTTCTGGGGAAATGCGCTGGTTCTCATTTCTGCCATTACAGAGGAAATACACGTAATGGTAATCCGTAAATTCAAATTCAAACATTGAACGTTGTGCAGCACTTGACTCAAATGTGAAAAAATAATGTAATGAGAGGGGATCCAAATTAGCGTACAACTTTCCCAATGACCGCGACACAAATTAAGTTCCTGAATGGAATGACACCCTGCATTTGCATTATTTATCAATTCAGCTGCCTCTAATTTCATTGCTATGCGATTCATTTCGACACAAATGAAAATGATCTATTATTCATAATGGTACATAAACTGCAATGGAGCGCTTCGCGCCTCTTGGAGCCATAAAAAGTCAGAGGAGCGCAATAAAAAGTCCACTTCTGTTCCACCAGCTGTCTAAGTGGTTTTATGTTATAGTTTGCATAAACAAAGCCGATTTCTTTTACGGGAAATACCAGCAACTACAGTGTTGCTATTCACACAAGGGAGCCGCTGAGATATTTTTTAGAAATTACCGTTACCAGGGTTATTGATAAAGGGTGAGATTTGAATGTCTGCTTTCAAAATATGGCGTCCATTATAAAATGTAGACCCACCATCAAAATGAATAAAACCATTAAAAAATGGAAATACTAAATTGTGGACAGAAATGTACTTGTATGAATCTTGCTGCTTCTTTTTCTTTTGGCTGTGTAAAGTATCAAAAATTAAGCAATTTTACTATTTGTCCGCAATTTCGGGTTGGTTTGCAATGGAAACCTCCAGGTTTGCATTAACTACGAATTTACATTGAAAAAATAAAACCAAGTCAACCACACAAATGTACAAGTGGCTTATTGCGAAGAAGACGACTGTAAATTCAATTTTCAAATAATTTTCTGAAGACTTTCCACAAATAGTCGGGGAAATGTACTTTTTTGCACTCTCAGTCCAGTTTGTTTGCAATAAATATACTTGACCTACACCCAGTTAAAGTTTTGTGAAATTGGTCTGGTGTAACTTGCCCCAAAAGGAAATTGTATCATCAAATTAAGAATTTCTCTTGTTTTTCTTCAATACAAAGGTTACGGTCATATCGCACCTGTCACCATACCTGGCCAGATATTTTGTATTCTCTACGCGATGGGAGGGATACCCTTGATGCTGCTGGTGCTAACCAATGTGGGTCGGGTCCTAGCCAACGTTGCCAGACTGCTCTACATCATGTATACCAGCCGGCTGTGCCAACGAGTACGGATGAGGTGTCGACAACGCCGGTCGAGGAAAAGGGCTCGCAAAATGGCACGAAGGAGAGGTATGAAATGCCAATTTGGACGATGCATGGCGTTATATATTCTGGCCAAAAATCCACATGATAAACCCATTTGTAGTCGCAGCAGGCCAGTTTTTTTCTAAGTACTACAATGTACTACAATCGGTTGAATTCAAAAAAGTTCTTACTCACAGACAAGATGACAAGCAAGAATGTTGTATGACGTGCAGTGATTCAAAACTGATGGCAATTGATTTTCGCTTTAATTAAGGCAGGTTCATACCAGGCGTGAAAGTGAATGTGAATTTTTGACATAAGAGTAAACATTTGTGAAGCGAATTCGCCAAAATTTAACACATTTCAACTTACACAACATTTATGGGCAGATCTTTTGTGACGTTAAATTCGCTTAACATTTGCATTCCCCAGTAGTATGAACCAGCCTTAACACATCTTCCAAATTTATTAAATTTTATAGTAAACATGCGGGTCTATAAAATCGCCCAGAGTAGTTACACTACCGCGAGATGGCGCTATTGCAATATACTGCACCGCCTGAGAACATTATTTTAGAGCACGTAGCGGAGGGCGCTGTCACACGTCTGCGTTTTTTTGTTCAATAATATTCCCCTCGTTCCTTTGGATCTGTGGAGTATGTCCTTTTGAATTAATTAGTAAACTTCCTTTTCTTTTCTTTTTAATTCGCTTTAATTACTGCGTTAAAAGTGTTAAGGTCTTCAGTCACCAGCTTGTGTTTTTCATCTTTCACTGGTTATTTGAAGTAAAAAAAAAGGCTGAATTAGGACATTCTTACCGCTTGGAAAGCGAGGACAGAGTTATCGATGCAAATAACCTAGGTCACTGGCTACATTCTGAGTCTAGCTGTCAGACCAAACAACATTCCAGAACGATTTATGTGATATTTTCTAACACTATTGAATTTAGGGTATCTTCTAACCCCAAAAACCTTTCACGAAGACGGGGTCTTTCTGCTTGAAGACGCACTGTTCACCTAGTTGTTTGGTTAGGGTCGCGGTTGGGTTATTATCAGCCTGAAGTGCCGTTTTTTCTTCCCTTAGAAAAAAGGTAAACATTAGACCTGATCACAAATAACCACGTTTTCTTTATCGACAGCAATGGCTCGCAAGGACTCGTCAAGATCAACTCGCTCCAACCGCAACCGAAGCAACAAGGGCAAGAAGTCTCGACCGGTGAAGAAGACCCCAAGCCAAGCCACCATCCGCGTGGACACTGAACCGTACCGAGAGGGCCGCCCCATGTCCGTCAACATGGAGTTGATTCGTAGTGAGCCGCCCCTTCCACCGTCTTACGCTGAGTCGAACGAAATGGAAGACAAAATATCTGATACCCGTGAAAATGCTGAGATGTTCTCTGAGGAGGCCAATAAACCTAATATGTCCGAGGCTCCGGGCCCCGTGCACTTTAGTATTTCACCCACTGAGTCCTTACCAGAGGTGTTTCCCCTGGGGGCCCCTCTGAAACAGCCTATCGCAGGTAAGGCACCCAAAGCCGACATGGACGATGACTTTGATGACTTAAGCGACCTTGACGAGCCGGAACCAGAAGAAGAGCCCACAAAGCAAAATGACAAGCAGTCAATGGAATTTGGGACAAAGCCTGCTCAAAATAACAAATCAGATTGCAAAGGGAGCATATCGTCAACGCCACTGTTGCAACCTTTGCAAAGGGAAGCCACATGCACAAACAAGGGGCCAGCGTCCTCTGAGGTTGATTGCGCAATAACAATAGAGGAAAGCGGTGATCATCATGAAGAGAAGAGACTGGGTCGTGCTTCTTCCTCGATCGCTCTGGGAGAACTTTGCGAAAAGCGTCTACCTCCGAGGCAGTTCTCGTGCATCGAACTACGCCAGATAGAGGAGCGCAGGTCAATATCCTTCAACATGGAAGGCATTGCAGAGGAGGAAGACAATTCCCCAAAAGAGAATGATGTTTTCCTATCCAAGGAATCGCAAAGTGTGGACGACCTGAACGCAGAGGTCATTGGTAGTGCCTCTGATCTCAACAAACGCAAGAATAGTCGTGGAAAGGGCAAAACGAAGAAGAAAACTAAAAGCAAATTGAAAAAAGACGGTGAGAAAACGAGCAAGTCTAGGTCTTCAAAACACCGGAAAAACGCAGAGCTAAGAGTTGTCGAGAGAAGGAAAGGTACACCCAAAAAATTACGGACAAAAAGACCAGTTATGTCGCCGCCTACGCTAAGATCGCTTCACTCAAAACAATTAAAAATACTGGACAAAGCAACTGCCGTTCGCTTGGCAACGTATGATAAGGACTTTGGGAACAGCCGTGAGGACCTCACGACACTTATTCCCGCCCTCAAACACGAAAAGGTGCGGCTGTTGTGTGAGTACGATCGCGGTGTCATTCGTGACCGTGTGCACAATCCTCGTGGCCAACGCCGCCGCCGAATGGCAGCATCAGAAAGTGGAAGCACGCGGAGTCGAAGCAGTAGGGGCGCCCGAAGAAGGAGAAGAAAAGGCCGAGAGTCGGGCAGCACGACTCCTGTGGGCTCGGACCGGACTTCAACATTCGACAGTGACACAGAATCCACAGACACGGACGATCCAGGTGCTGATCCACTCCAACAGGCTGAAATCCCCATCGGCCCAGTCCTGGCTTTTTTCTTTAGCTACGTCGCCCTTGGTGCCGTCACGTTCTTCTTTATCATGGACAAGTGGAATCTCTTCCAGTCTTTCTATTTCTGTTTCATCACGCTCACGACGATAGGTTTCGGAGATTATGTTCCTGATGACAAGCTAAGCAGTTTGCTGGCCTGTTGTCTGTACACGCTCGTCGGCATGGCCGTCACGTCTATGTGTATTGCGCTGATCATGAAAAAGTTTGTGGTCACTGTTAAGCACATTGGGCGCCGGGTTGGAATCGTCGGAGAAGACGATTGACAAAGCGCCACAAGCGGTGAGGAGAGTACCCCATCGCACCAGGACTCCTCTTAGTTAATTCTCTGCAAATACTGAAACATTCATGCTTGTACTATGAGTTCCATAATGTTATCGCTGTTGAAAGCATATAGATAGAAGCTAAACGTCCACTGTGGTGTAAGTCAGTATTTATGGGTGAGCGGTGAATGACCGATTTTATTAAAAGAAGCCTCAAACTTAGTATATACCTTTGCGCGAAAGCAGTAGTTTTTACATCTTTTGGTAGTGCGCAAACACGCTTTCAGAAAAGATATAACGGTACTCCCTATTTGCACGGAGAGTTGACTGTCTCATATCCGTGACATGTGAGGTTTAGTATATTTCGCAGCCATTTTATATTTTATTTTAATTTACTCCCCATGAAAAAATGAAATAATCAATTTTCCGTTTCAAAAGGCATGTGCTAAACTTTAAGTGTTTGGGCCCAAGCAGAAACACATAAAAAAGACTGCCTTAAAACAATATGTTGTACGCAGATTTTAACAGCCTTCCTCGAGGTAATAATACGTTATGGACGGCCAAAAATATTATGACTTCGGCGAGAGAGGGCGCTGCAATGGATAGACCTTTGTCTTGTTACCCCTAAGCTTTGCACAAGCAATTTAGGCAACCAAAAATCGATTGCTCTTTATAAAGGTTCTTGCACAAAATGCAGGACACAAACGGTCCCCACGGGCCACCATATGGTAGATGTTACTTCTCCAATGTCATTGTCAATTATTTTGGCATATTCACTAGGCAGATACAACGTTTTAGTACCGTGCAATACAACATAGAACGTCATACCTATGACCTGCCAATTTCGGAACCTTAATCGAATGAAAAATGTTTCGACAGTGTTATCAATAACGTTTTGTGAATTCTAAACAAACAAAATAATACAACTGAGCTTGAGGTACTTTGTGAAGAAAGAAAAACAACTGAGGATGGGAACATAGTTTTTAAGGGGACAGGTTCGGCCTCAGGAAGGGCTTGCAGTTGTTTCTAAACAATGATATACTAAATATTTCTTTGTATAATATCCGTCGGCTCGTTAAAAGCCATGTGTTATTGAAATACCGCCCTCTGTGTACCGTTACTTTTCGTTACTCTTATTTAATCAGCCATCGAATTTGATACAGGTGTTATACTTATTGTTGTAATCAGAATTTTTCATAGTTTGTGCAAATTTTTACTAATTGTTACTTACCAAGTCTTTATTCGATGGTTTCATTTACATTGAACACAAAGCGGATTCCCGCCCTTTATTAACTTGACATAATAGACAGTGGATCGTGTCAAACTTTTCTGGACCTAATCACACATTTCATTGTAGGTTGTGAATAATTACTTTTGTAAGTCTCAAAATAACCAGCCTATGGTCACTCGTTTTCGTAGAGGAAGTCCCCTTGAAAAAGCTGTGAATGACTGGTCAAACAAACAGCGAAATCGATATCGGGCGCTGTGTCCAAGCAACATTGCGAGAACTCCTCTGGCAAGGTTTGCCTGGTTAAGTCAGATTATGGTGATTGTGGCAACCAAGACAACAGTTGAAATGTGATGTTGCGAGAAAAGTTTAGTTCCGGCTCGCAGAGTCACACACGTCACGAAGGTCTGACTCACCTTTCAAATTAACGAGGGTAAACTGGTGCAGCTCGGCTTCTTAAAAGGTACAATGGAGGTAATGCAAACAGGGTTGGCAAGGGTTGCCTCCAGCAAATAATCCCAGTATTCGAGTTATGTTTTAAACATTAGTAAAATTTTGTTGTCACTTTGAAATCAATTTTATGAAATTCTGACTTATTAGCGTTAACACAAAAGGGGAGGGTAGCTCTCTTTTGGGGAGGAAAGCATCTTACAGAGACAGATTGACAGTCAGAAGTAGAGAGACCACTTCAGGGGCGTTTTCACGGAAATTATCATTCTATCCATTCTTTTCTTTTATTTGAATTTTGTTCCTATAATCTTTTCTTGCTCATTTTGAAAACAATTTCCCATCATCCTGGGGCAAGTGCCTCCCGCCTCCTGGAACACCAATGTTTGAAGATGTTTTTGAAGAAGTCATGTGCTCTACAGTCCCCCCCCCCTTTTTTTGCGTTTTTAATGGCTATTGCTTATGCACTGTCTGTCACATCTGACAGGGTGATTCAACAAAGCTTTTAGTCAGATTGGATTGAAACTTTGCAGAAATAATGATTTTTTTTCACATTGGCACAAGCTTTCTTAGAAAACTGTCATCAACTCGTCGGGATCTGAGGGGGCCGGGGAAATTAAAAGCGAGGAACCCGTCACTCCACCGATGTAAGGAGATCCCAAACGGCTCCGTTTAGAGAAAGGTGGCTGGAAATACAGGCGCCAAGAGATAGGAAAATCTTTTTAACATGGTTATTTCATATATATTTGAGGTAAGAGCAATGACTGTAATTGATATCATTTTACAGGAATATCTCCGGCGTGTTTTGAGCCTAATTAATGAGGACATCTTTTTAATATTGAATTGCTTCTTTTTTGACTTACGGTGAAGACTCTCATTTTGTACTAAACTCCCAGCGTCAAGTGGTTCAACTGCGGGCAGGGGCGTGGAAGGCTGGAGTCTCCCGGATTTAAAATTTTGAAATTTATAAGCTGCAAGTAATTTGCCTTTAGAGTCCCCTTTGAAAAAATGTGTGTGCATCTGTTGTTCCCTCTCCCAGACATTTCATCCTATCTACGAAACTGTTGTGTCTCAAACTCTTGTGACATGATAGAGTGTCTATCAGTGATTATAATGTTTGCCATTACTTAATCAACCCGACGCGTCGACTACCTGCTTACGTAGTGGCGTTCACAGAAATGGCATGTTCATTGCGATTAAACCTTCAATTTAATGAGAGAGAGGCAGGTGTGATTACCAGAAAAGATCGAGAGCATGACATGTATTGTGTCTTTCGCTCTCTCTGAAACTTCCTCACTAAAGTAACTGAATCTTCAATTGGAGTAGTGAGTAGAGATGATAAGAAACAAATGTGTTGAACGTTAGAAAATAGTTGTGGATGATGCTTGGGTTTAAAAATGTAGTGCTCTGTCAGAAAACAAATAGAGGGCTTTCAAAGGGCTTGTCGGTTCATTTTCAGTGTTTCAAAGTGCTTAATGTGGTTGAGTGGTTGAAGAAAAAATTTAAATGACAATCTTGTTCTGTGAGGATTGTTTCATGAAACACTTAACGAAAGAAACACGAGTATACCTCTTGAAACAATTGAAAATTGATCATTTTACTGATGAACCGTAAATTGGTCGTGTAAGAGATGATTCAAAATTTGGCAGGTGTGTTGAATTAATGAGGAGATTAGTAAAAAGTCTGTGTGACTTGACAACTGACTGCCTACCTGACCAGCATAGACTGACCAAAATTGCCCGCATAACCTAACTGATGCTTCAACTGACTGACAGACTGACCGGCTGGCCCACGACAACTAACACAATGGCTCGCTGATTCCTGCCTTTTTGTCCTACAAATCCACTGACCACTTGCCGACTGATTTACTGACCGACCAACTGGCTGATTCCCTGAACGACTGATAAACCAAATGAGAGTCTATCCAACCGAAAGAGCGGCTCACTGATTCCGACCTACGAAATCGAAAATGTAATGACTTGCAGACACTTCAACTCACCAATCTACTAACTGACTGACTCGGACTCAGAAAGCGACAGACTCAGTGGGTGACTCGCTATTCCAACGACTCCTAGCTGACCCAATTCTACATCTACCCGCTGATTTCATTGTCTGCTCAGTGAACGATCTATGCCGTGAGTAGTTCGCAAGTGGACTAGAGGGTGTGCTCGAGCAAGCTATTCGTGTTAACATGAGTATACTCCTTAGCGCTCAAACAGCTAGAGTACCACCCACGGGGAGGGGGGTATACTCTTGCACCCGAGTGTAATGCGCATCCTGCTCCTGTTAGCTGGAGTAACCCCGGGAACGCACCCACTGACTCGCCTCTTAGACTGGTTCATTGATTAGCTGAAAGACCATCCTACTGACTACCCGATCGATTGGTAGACTGCACGTTAACTTCCGCGCTCTCCCCCAAATGACTGACACATTCATTGACTGAACGACTGAAACGGTGACATCCTTGCTAACCAAACTGTCGACAGACTGACTAATAATACCAATATTGTCCAAACGCCGTACAGACGTTTCGACGACTTGACTAACAGGCCCACTACCTGGATGACCAGCAGACGATCAGAATGAAACCTTCACAACATAGGCCTAATTGATTAGCATACGTTTTTGCAAGTTCAAACACAGGGGACGTGACCAGCAGACTGAATAAAGTATAATGCATAAAGAGCAACAGTTTGGGAAAAAATAAGCCTATCGCTTAACTACCGAAGTTCAGCAGATCATGAGAAATATTCGTACGAAGGTGCGCGATCTCATATACTCACACTTGATATCAGAAGTAACGACAACACGTTTTACCATGTACCACGACAAGCAGTGGTGAGAATATTTGAATGTACTAGAGACGAAATCAGAACATATGATCCGACAAAGGATTTTGTGTACCGGGTCCGTTGTAAGGATCAGAGTATATTTTAATTATCTTCACGAATTACATAAACATTCTGTTGTCAGATTGGCCCAAAATCGCATAAGTCAACGGATGTCTGTCTTTCGCAAGGGATATTAACTGCCCTTTTGGTCCCGTTTGGGGATGTAAGATGTTCCCAGCAAACACCATTTTAATTCTCAGATATTGGTTACCTCTATTATTGGTTTCATTTTCCAAGAGATACCCTGCAGCATTCAAATAAGACCGTCAACATTTGCAACTGTATGTAATTCTTGCAAATGGCAAATGTATGAAACGTTTGTGTTTTCAGAGGGAACGACAATATTGAACCAGTTTATTACCGTAACGAAATTAAACAATGGAGCGTGTGTACAACGAAATTAAAGCAAAATAAGCAGCGCATTCATCACACTATGGTGCGAAACCAGAGGGAAAATAATTTCAATTTGACTTGCCTGTGTAGAAAAAATAAATAAAAAATAAATCCACATCTCATTTGTCCGTATATTATCTGCAAAGAATGCAGCAAGCCTTTTTAAGAGCTTGCAATATGTAATTGTGATAGGTTGGATGAAAGAGGTTTTTCCTACGTCGAAAATAAGGTAAATAGAAAATTTCACTTTTCAACGTTTTTAATTCCGCTCTCACCAACCAGCAACTGCAAATGTATTGTTGTAAATATTTCGAAAGTTTGTCGTCTGTTTTATCTCTTGTGAATTTTCAATATTAAACCAACTTAAATGTAGCTAATTGATCAGCACCTTGAATTCATTGCTTTTTACGTATACGTTAAATGTAAACACTTTTATCTACTGTAAAATAGAATTGAAACAGGAACGTGTATTGCTAATTGAAATATTCCCAGTGAAATAGAGATGCCCAGTACTGTATTTAAATCAAATATTAGAGAATTCAGAGAGACGGTGTGGGGTTGTCAGAATATAGTTTGTGGGATTAAATTGCTTTTCACATTGTTTCTTTAAAAGCAAAATCTATATTGTAAATAATAATTTCAGGAAAAAAGTATTCATATTCAAATTTGGCAGAGTCCAAACAATAAAATAACAATGCTAACTTTGAAAATCATTATTGAAAAAACAGGTTTGCTTTCTCTGCTCATTGCTTAATTTGAATTGTTTCACATCTATTATTAAATTTTGGTGTGTCTATTTTTTAATTCTCACATTATTACTTTTTGTTTTCCTGCCATAATTCTTGTGGGGAGTTTCAATGGAAAAGTCCTCAAATATCTGTGTTTGGCAGCCTTCCGGCTCGTTTTCTCTCTTGACAGAACTTGAAAGGCGATGTTCTGTCGATCTCATAAATGTGTCATGTTTTGTGTCATGTTTGATAATAAATTTTTGGACTTTTTATAAATACGCAGGGGTTCTATATAGAATACCTAAAAGCAAAATAATAAAGCGCAGCCCCTGCTTTGGGCCTCCTGACCAGTTTTCCGTATTACTCAAGTATATCGTGTCTTTGGCATTAATCATGAAGTCAAGTATCTTCACGAAGAAAAAAGAAGATTTGGCGGTGCGTCACAAAACAAATCCAGCTGTTTCTGTCATTCAGCGTGTTAGGTTTCCCGGACTTTTTGCCAAACATGATTATAAAGTGTCACAATGTAGGCCGATGAACCCAAGGTGATTAGGTTTTGTGGGTGTTGTCTGTCTTGATGCCACCGCGCCTCTCCATAACACCCCTCGGCAGCTGTCTCCAGAAAAGTCGTCGTCTTTCTTCGAACAATACACTTCACCCTTGGTCTCCGCAGCTCCGTATCTCTCGGGGCACGATGCACGCTGTTGAAATAAAAATCTTCTGTACGGGTCCTCCAAGTCGGGAAGTGCAAGGGCATTTCTCGTAAGGCCCACTGTTGGAGGTGTTTTGCGTCCGTGAATTGGGCGGGGGTGGGCAATCCTTCTTTTTATCCATCCCATCTCTGGGTACACGACTTCCGGTTTTCGTGTCAACGTCGTTTTCAGCAGCGCACAAAAGAGAATAGTGGCATCACCCCAATCAGAACAAAACAAAATGAAGTTAAAGGTTACAACTTCCTCCAGCTTTTTCGAGTTTCCTGGGTATCTCGGTGAAAACTGTTCAAAGATGAGGTCTCCACCCAGATGCTTGCACTTCTAAGACATGATACAATCCTGCTCGCAATAAACATCTGAATGATTATGGTGTGAGAAATGAAAATATTCGAAAGATGCTCTTAAATTTTCATGTTCTATTATATACTAGACGAATTTTAGAAGCCTGTAACCTCTACCACGTTAAGATTGAACTTCAATATTAAATAAATGCCATCTGGGCAACTCCTGCACAATCATCAGGAGTTTATATTTAAAAGAGACTATGTGAAATTTGCAGTAATTATTCGTTAATTCTTAAATGTCTTTTCCTGTTACATTTTTTTCCAAACACGTGTAACGCTCATGGCTCATTTCTAAGGTGTAATTGGAGAGGACAACCAATGAGTATTCCCTTATAATGGAGAGGCAAAGTCTCACAGGATTTACATGTAGCCAACATTAATCTCTGGGTGAAATCTGGCCGTTTTGAAAATGTAAATCCAAAGCACGCGCGTCGTTAATAAGATTAAATGGTGACTTAGCACAACAAGGGGCAGTTCCGGCCGTCAGAGACTGAAACTTGGTTATTTACGTGTTCGCCCAAGGTCTGACCCAGAGCCACATTTCCGGTAGCTAAACTTATTATTCTTAGGGGGATCTGTAAATGTTTTCATGAAATTTATGACCTCTCTGAGGAATGAAGGTACATTTTTGGAGCTTTCTACACTTATTTGGGGGGGGAAAGAACACAGACCCCTGCAATCACTTTTCTTTCATTCAAAAATCATTCCACCTTTTGGGGAGCATAATAGCCCCAATTTCCCGTCCCCATCTGCCCTTGCGTTCGACTGTAATCTTTACTGTATGACATGCATCAATAATTGATTAGTTTGTTGAAGCCACTATCTGCAATTCAAGTCAAATGCCGAAAAGGTCATATAGCAATATGAAGTGAAAATCATATATACATGGAAGGTAATTGACACGTGATTCAATAATCTTAAAGCTAAACCAATAATATGGGGGGTTTGACGTGCTTTCTTTCCCAGAAAGTTTATCCAGCAAGGGGGGCGCTTTTCTTAATAAGGACCTGTTCAAAATTACATTTTATAATCAACTCTACAAAAAGATTTTTAAGTTTTCTAAACGAACTAACTATCAAGGTGAAATTGCATTCTCAAAAGAGAGAAACTTTATTAACAAGTACAACTGTCTTCAAGCTGAAGAAAACTTGCCTTAATGCTGCCCGAATATCTTCATGTGCATAACGAAGATCAACATGAAAATTATTCCATAATGTTCATGCAAATTTAGCCAAAAACTTACATATGCCAATCTACTTTTGCTTCCATGGTCTGACGTGCACGAGAATCATAAAAACTCAAGAGATTAGGTCAAACCATAAAAATTAGAGCCACATTTAACATTCTTCAGCACCTTTGGAGTGTGGCTGTGCGTTAATATGTTTGCATTGGTATAGTGAATGTTGACATTACACAATTCCGAATGGCCTTCGCCGATGAAGAAAAGAACTGATCAAATTATTACAGTCACTAGACAAATCTAACGTTAGGCACGTCGTGGGACGCACTAAACCTTGATTTGCCTTAGCAAGGTCAACACTGGGGGAAAGTGTGCGCTTCACAACATTAACGATACCCCAAATTACAAGAAAGCGATGAAGCTGGGATTAGTGCAGCAGACAGACGAGCGCAGACTGCACTTCCTGAAGGTTGAAGGTCTTAAACCAAGCTTTCCCGATTCGGATCCACTTAGAATGTTTCAAATGGTGCATCAGACATGAGAGTTTTTAAAGTGAAGGTGGTGGCATGTAAAGGAAGAAGCAAGGCCTTCGAAATGTATAATGGCGAGCGTCAATGTTCATTTTTATTCTCTCTTAACCTTGATATATTGTAATACAATGTATGTCCTTTTTGTTTAGTGTCTATTGTAACTTGTCTGTGTAACTCAGATGCCTGTTAATTAAATACCCATGTAGTGTGTGTGGTGAACCCGTGAAAAACAATCAAAATGGAACATTCTGCGATTGTTGCCAGTCTTGGACTCATCTTAAATGTACTAACCTAGGTCATATTGACTACTATATTTTATCCAATGACAATGAAGTTTGGTTTTGCTCATGTTGTCTAATGACTATATTTCCATTTAATTCTTTGGATGACAATGAATTCAAATTAAAAATTTCTGAATTGGATTCAAGTACTAGGAGAGTCCTTGACTTTGAGACACTGATTGGATTGAACTTCACTGAATCGCGCAGTATTGAACATATTGATAACTTACAACATTCTATAATTGATTCTTGTTATTATTCTTGTGATAACTTCATAAACTTAATTAATCACGATTCAACTAATATTTTTTCCTACCAGTATTTAAATATTAGGAGCTCATCTAAAAATATTGACAACCTAATTTTTTTCTGCAATCCCTTATTTAATCGTAATATCTCAGTAATTGTCCTAAGTGAGACTTGGTTAAAAGAGAGCTTTCCCATAAATGTCCTTAATATGCCAAGGTATTCACTGTTATATAAAAATAGATATGATAAAATCGAAGGTGGAGTTGCCTTACACATATCTTCAAATTTGTGTTCTTTCCCAAGCACTGATTTAAATGCCATGAGCAATGAATCTGTAGAATGTATGTTTGCGGAAATTGTTACACCTAGTTACCAGAAAAACATAATTATTACAAGAGTATATAAGGCACCAGATGTCAACTTTGACAACATTCTTTCTTGTTTTCAAATATTATTCTACCGTGTATCTACTGAAAATAAGTATAACCTAATATCTGGTGACTTTAATATAAATTTACTTAATCTCGACAACAGCAGAGAGGAATTCATGGACATTACGTATTCTTCTGCAGTATGCAAATTAGAA